TTTTTTTTTTTTTTTTTTCCAATAAAACATCAAATTTTATAAATAAACTCAAGGATAAGTACAAGTCGAGCTCCTAAGTAGGAGTATCGCACCCAAGACCTGAGAAAACAGGGAAGATTTCTAAGAAACCAACCTAAAGGATTAAACGAGTTTCATTATTTAAATATGGAACACAAATGAGACCCAATCATAGTCATTAAATATGGAACAAAATGTGTAGCCAAGGTTTAATATTTTATTTTTTTTATTTTAATTATTTAGATATTCATTTGACAATTTGGTCGTTGATCGTTGACTCCAATGTTACCGTTGACTATCAGCGCTGGCCATTGATTTGAAATATGTATTGTACATAAAACTAAATAAATAATTATATTTATGATGTAGCAGGAAGCATGAGATGAGAATAATTGTATGAAGAACAACGAGGAACCGTTTCTATCGTCTCTGATTCAATCTGGTAAAATGATAACGGCCAGAACAATGAAAATCCTACGGTTTTAATAATACCCAGTCCTAACCACCTTTACTTAAAAGCCCAAACACAACAAACCCAATACAACATAAATATAAACACAACAAGTGCAATACAATATAGATATAAATAATAATAATAAGAAATGAAATAACATTCAAACTAATGAGACGAGTCGATCACATTTGTTGAGATATACTAATGCAATCTCGTCGGCATCAATTTACTTTATAGTAAAAATTAATTTATATATTAATATTAATTGAAAAAAATATTTAAATTGATTCAACAAAAAATTAGTTATATGATATAAGTTAAAAAAATTATTATAATATAAGATATTAAGTTGTATAAGTGACGTGTCATTTTAAATATAAATAAAAATAATTTTTTTTTAAAAAAAATACATATTTGATTTTTTTTAATTTTAATTTAAAATATAATTTTTTAACAAGCACCCGTATAATACACGTGTATTGTACTAGTGTGTGTATAATTTGGGTTGTCAAACAACCTACATTGGCCTTGTTTGTTTTTTTGGCTTTTAAGTGATAGACAACTAAATGGTATATGTTTCATTTTTTCTTTTTGTTTTTTGGCAAACTTCAATTAAATATTTAGAACAGCTACTCTTTTTTTCTTTAATTTATATTCTTTCTTTGAAATTTTTATTTAATTATAATAAATATAAAATTCAATCTAAATGTATTTGAAAATATATAATTAAATTGTTAATATAAATATAATTACATAAAAACATTTTATTTGTATTACTTTATAAACATTTTCTTAAAAATATATATCAAGCTTAATGTCCAATATATTTTGCAAATCAATTAGCTATTTTTAATATATGTACCAGTAAATATAAAAAATCCCGCATAAAAGAACTCACTCTGGGGAAGTGTGGGGGTATCATATTTTTATCATCAATAATTAGTATTGTTTTTAATTGAACTAATATACATGCTTAATTATGATAGATGCATATTCCTTTTAATAATTGCATGATTTCGTTTATATGACGTGAACTTATTTAATTGATTAAGAAATATTTTCATTTTATGATTATCTATATTTTTATTATATTTCAAATCACTTTAATAAATATTTAAAATATTAATTATTTTTATTTCTTAAATAATTATAAGTTAAGCATAAATAAGAAGATAAAAGTACGTTGATGTTCTTATAAGTATTTTTACATGTTAACAACTAATTAGAAAAGCCTAATTTTACCAAACATTTTTTAGCAAACCGCTAATACCATCAGCTGGTTAAAACAGCTAACGCAATCCACTAGTTAAAGCAGCTAATGTAATCCGCTAACAGCTAACAGCTAACAGCTAACCGTTAATTACCAAACAAGGCCAATATCTTTCCCTTTCATGTGGAATCACTATTTTATCGTCCATTTCATTCCATCTATGTATCTATTTAAATTAATAGGTTAATATATAGTTCACAATTATATAAATGTTTGCAACTAATTATAATTTGAAATTATTAGAAGTGACATGTGGGTTCCTCTTTTATTCATACCATACCATGGTGGTGGATAGAAAGTACGCATCAGAGGTGGAACCTCGTGAACATTATATATTTGGTATTCTGTGGCTTTCACTTTGTGTCATAAAGGAGAATTAATTAATTTAATTTGTTAAGCTGATGCCCCAAGTCAAACTTTAATTGCTTCATTTATAACCAACATATTTCTTATGTACAGTAATTAAGTCGTCACGTGTATCCTGTTAGATTTCTAACTAATTAATAATTCATTCAAAATTATATAGTTTTTTATAAGGACAACATAACATAATATTTGAACATGTATGTACATTCATTATCAAATCTCTTTAGTTTTTCAAATAAATTATATTTTGATTTCAAAATTAATTAAATCAAATCATTTGATTGTCAGTAAAGAAAACAAGGTAAAAACATTAAAAAATAAATATTGGAAGAAAAAGTTCTGATAATTAACTTCTAATAAGTAAATTGGGAAATGCGCTTAATTTTTTAGAGATTTGGTGAATTAGTGTGTTCTTATCTTCAAAAATTACATAATTTGTAATAATGTTTGAACTTTTAGAGAAAAAATTAAGATAGACCAATTCTTTAGATCTGCTATGTAAAATTTGAAAAGTACGTTTATATAACGTAAATTCTTATAGATGGAATACATGTAATTTTAGAAGACTAAGTGGTCAATTGTGTATATTTTATTAAAAAAAAAATTATTTTGTAACTATTGGTTTTTGTGAGGAAAGTGTTTTGATAAATTAATTGTATATGTAAATATTATGGGATCCATGCAATTACAAGAGATATGATAATTATTCTCTGCATTTTATTCAGAAATTTTGAGAATAGTCTATTAAGTGATTGCATATTTAAAATAAATAATTTATTAATTAGGTGTTGACTATAAATATTAAGTCCCAATCAAAGTGTGAGTTTCTTTCTCAAATGTTTTTTTTTTTATTTTTTTTTTATTTTTTTTATTTTAATTTAAACCATGAATGTAATTTTTCAGATAATTGATCCACAAATTTAAATAAGAGAAAAAAAATACTCCATTTTAATTATATGTGTGGTAATCATATATGAACTACAGCAACAAGTTAATGAAATACGAATTGCAAAGGAAGATAACTTGTGAATTATTCATCCAAAATACTCCAGTACACATAAACTCAAAAAACCCCCCCAAAAAAATGAACAAAAGAACAAAAAAGCAAAAAAGAAAATCAATTCCACATCAAAATCATAGGCAATCATGAATTTTACTTAGTAAATCACCTTTATCGCTTAGGTCACAATTGATCGGCATTTAATTGTGAACCATAATTTGTTCATACGAGATAAAGATAAAAGAGATATTCTCTTCCACGAGAGCGAAAATTCCCTTGGTGAAGAATGTTTTCCCTCGGGTGAGGATTAATCAATTAAACAATTGCCTTCAGTAAAATTCCTTTTACACTTTTGAAAATTCTAATTAAGAGTATTGCGGATCGAGTTTTTTCTTTTTCCTAAGAGCGTGGGACTCGTAAACACTGTGGGGAATTATTTGGGGTTTTAGAGTTTGACGGCCTGTCAACAGAACATTATGAATACGTCAAATTCTGGATCGGGTGAAGATAAACTAACGCAAAAAAAAACTGAGTAATTTCTCCTTGTCGGAGAAAGAGGCGGGGGAAATTAGTATCGAAGTTGTTGATTTAAAAGCTAGTGCAGAAGATTGTAATCGAAGTTTATTTAGCAAAATCATAGGGGATCGGCCAGCGAGTCTGCTAGGAATTAAACGGGCAATGACAGCAATATGGAGACTTCAGAATACTTTGGAGGTTCGGGAATTGGAGGCAAATTTCTTTCAATTCCTGTTTACCAAGAAAGAAGATTTACAGAAGGTAGCGGCAGGCAACAACTGGATGTTCGAAA